CTCTCAAAATCAATAAATAAACTTTAAGAAAATTGACTGAGGGTCAATGAAATGTTGGAGTAGCTTTAATTCTACCTCAGACTGCCCTGTCAGCTGGCTCCAGCCATGGCCTGCAGATCTACTCCTCGCATGAGCAACTGTAGAAACGGTTGAGACTGAGAACTCTAACACCTGTTGAGTTGTCTGCAGATTTTCAGTTCAAAGAGTAAAAATATACATCTGAGACCAAACCTTGTTGAGCCCTCAGAACCTGTCACCAGAGCCGTATGTGGCCCTGCCCACAGAGATATCTATGAACGCTAAAAGGGAACTCACTTTTGTGACAGCCTCTAGTGTAAATAGCACATACACTATTCCAGTGTTTGCATAAGAAGAAGATGGTATGAAAATAAAACAGATTTTCTAAATATGTAAACTGTCTCTAGGAGGCCACCTAAGAACCTGGTAACAGTGGTTGTCTCTGAGGAGGGGAACTGGTGGCTGGGGTCTGGGTACAGAGGAAGGCTTACTTCTCACTGTTTACCTTTATTTCCTCCCTTGCATTGTCCACCATGTGACAGAATTATCTGTTTTACAATAAAGTCTCTCATGAATGGCGAAAACACTTGAAGGTAACACATCAAAACGCGAATCGTGTTTATCTCAAATGCAGTTGCTAATTTTTCTTTTAGACTTTGCTGTTTAGAACAAATGTTCTACACTGAGCATGAAGTTGCTTTTAAAATCAGAAAAAAGAAAAGAAAAGAAATACTCCTTGCAATTTTCAAGGACACAATGAGAAAATAAAATGTAAAAAATAAAACAAAGAACACCTATGATGTGCCAGCCCCTTTATATTACTGAGCTAATTTAATCCTCACAATACTATAAAGTAGATGTTTATTATCTTTCCTGGTTTATAGATGAGGAAAGGAGATCCAGAGAAGTGATTTCCTCAAACAGTTATAGCTAATAAGAGGTAGAGCTAAAATTTGAAGCAGTCTTATCTAATTCCAAAAATGCATGTTTTAAGACAACTTCAAGCTTCCTCAGGTCGAGCAGTGTGTGTACAGGACAAGGGCTTGGCAGATGCCAACCATGATTTGCATAATTCACCAACAAGAGCTCCAGTAATCTGATCTGCCTGGAGGAAAGCTTGACCCACAAGGTGCCAATTCCTACCCCTGCTTCATGACTACTAATAAGCAAAGAAGGAAACCGTGAAGGAGAATCAAACCAAGTACTGGAGCTCACATTTGTTAGAAACATTGATCCAGAGTGTCCCTCCCCAGCCAGACACCATTCATTCCCCCATTCATCCACCTGTTAATTTCCAGAATGTGTACTGAACATCTGTTATGTAGTAGGCCATCAGTCAGTATCGGACAACAGAGGTGAGCAGAAAGAGACACAGTGCCTGTGCTCATTGGACCTGACAGACGAGTGGAGAAGGCAAACAGTAATCAAATAATCACACACGTGTCAAATTACAACTGTGATAAATGCTATATAACACAGTTCGGTGATTCCACTGCCTGAAAGTGAAGGCAGCCCTATTCTTACCCCTCAAGCTGTACACTGTCACCAGGACTTTCCCTGATAGAACCTCTCCACAGTCAGACCTGTCTATTCACCTTCCCCAAACATTCCTAAGCTTGTCTGTCACAGAGCCTTTCTGTGCTCGGGCTGTTTCATCAGCCTGAACCTGCTTCCTCTCTCATCACTCTGTTAAAATCCTGCTCTCCCTGCCCAGGCAAGTTTGACTCCAGAGCTCCACTGTTTAAGAAAGGAATCAGGATAGCTCACACCAATTTCAACTGAGAAGGCCCCTTTTAAATTAACTTCAAAAAAAGGGGAAGAGGGGTGCCTGGGTGGTTCAGTAGGTTAAGTGACTCTTGATTTCGGCTCAGGTCATGATCTCACGGTTCGTGAGTTCGACTGACAGTGCAGAGCCCGACAAAGGATTCTCTCTCTCTCCCTCTCCTGCTTGGGATTCTTTCTCTCTCTGCCCCCCCCCAAATAAATAAATAAAACTTAAAAAAAAAGGGGGGGAAGGAGTACCATGGCCATCGCCTCATCTACACACAGGTTATTTTTTTCATTTGGAGTGTTAAGTTTGGGACTGACGGAGGGGGTCCAGAGTCTGTGAACCCCTACAACAGTGTGCAAGCATTTGTTTGCACCTGTGGCAGTTTTCTGAAAATTGGGTTTACAGGAGATGCTGTGAGTTGCTCTCTAGTATCCATGCACCTGAGGACAAAGCCAACACAAGAAGGAGAGCCAGGACGACAAGACCAGAGAGTCTTAACTGTGTTTTAAGCCTTCTCTGCCTCTGGACATTTTTAATTCTGGGTCAATATGTGCTTAAGAAGAAAGGAAAATGAAAGATAAAGGAAGGGAAAAGAAATGGAGAAATCCTGCCAATTCATGAAGTTCTTTCTCAAAAGCCACTTCCTGCTTCATGGCTTTTTCAGTTGCCCAACACAGAATCAATCCCTGCCTCCTCTGTGCTCCACTGAGCGACTCACTTGACCCTCTGTGGAGCACCAATTACATTTCTCCTTTGTACAACAGTCAGGCATCCCAAGGGCAGGTTCTGGGTCATATTTGTGTTTTTATTTCTAATAGCCCCTAGCACAAACTCTGCCAAAAAGAAGAGAGGGGAGGAAAATAGTTTTCAGATACCTAGTATGTACCAAGACCTATGCTAGAC